ACACACACACACACACACACACACACACACACACACACACACACACATCACTAAAATAAACAAGGTTGACATACTTGGCATGGGTCAAGGAAAAAGATTAATAACAGTTGTACTTTGAAGACTTTACCTAGTAGCCTCCACTGTAAAAGTTTTGTGGTTTTTTTTTTTTTATCAATTCTAAGTTTCAAAAACTCTGTCCTTGTTTATGTAAAGGAAAAAAAAAACACAATTGTGTCTTTAGTCTTTGTGGGGTTTCTACTATTCTAGAGAAATACAGTCTCAAGTAGTACTCCTACTCCGAAAATGAAATCTTTATTGTCAGAATCTGGAGCGATTAAAACACCAGTTACTCAGGCTGTAAAACCCATGCTGCTTCTATCCGACTTTTCCCGGAAATTGGGACGTTTAGATTTTCAAAACTGCAAAAGGGTTGAGTTCTTTTTAACCCTTGGAGACTGGAGAAAATAGCATAAAGTCTGCCATCTTGTGGACAGAAGGATGCATGAACATGAAAACCAGCCTGTTCCCCAGGATCCTGGGGATTACATAAATTTAGATTTAAATGATCAAAGATGTTGCAGTTAGAAGCTTCTTGGAGATTACATAGTCGATTTAAAGAAAGACTTTGTCCAGCCTTACCAGAGAAATAGACTAACAATAGACACACAACCTGATAAAGTTAGGGTGCTGAGTCTCATGGATCATCTACGTTCCCCATGAACAAATGTCTTCTAAACATATAGAGCTGAACCACAGTCCTAAGGGTCCAAATCACATCAGAAATACCTTTTTGAAGACACAGCACACCAATGCAGAATGTCTAGGCTGAACAGAGTTTCAGGTTAAAGTTAGTGATGCTTTTAATTTAATGATAGTTACCTTTGACTTTGTCACATGAATATTACCAAATAAGAGAGTTTAAACAAGTCTTGCTAAATTAAATTCATGTCAACTCATTTCTGTTTGTTTGCCCTCTTCATCCAAAGTCCAGGTTAAGAGTTGACAGATGAAAAATACTAATGAGGCTCCATCCATTCTGTTGGAACTATTAGTCATGTATGTTTGTGGATGTGTGTGTGTGTATAAGTATACGTAGGATGTTATAATTTTCTTCAAATACATAATAAAGCATGAAATAAGTGAGCAAAAGCATTCACAAGAAATGCCTAAAACTGGGGTAGTTTAACCTGGTGAGGAACAATTAGAAACGAAAGTCCATGGTAGCACTTCCCTCCCTCGCCAGTTGAGTGCTGGGTCTCACTGTTTTGGGCACCATGGCAGACCTGCATATACAGGTGCAAGTGAAGCTGGCACTGTCCCTGCTCTCACTGACCATGGGTAGCCTAGTGATCTCAGTGTAGAGACACGAGTACTATTTCCCCAAAGGTGTCTGATCTCTTTTTTGTCTCAACCCATGCTTTTTTTTTCTTTTCAGCAGACTAAATTTGCATGCTTTTAAAAACCTTTTTGTATGCTTTTAGAAACAGAACCGTTAAAGGTGCAAAGCAAAACTGAATGGAAGGTGCAGGAAGTTTCTGCACATTTTCCACCCTCCCACATTCCACTGCCCCACTGTTTACCTGCCCAGCTAGAATGGGACATTTGTCGATGTAGGGAACCTACAGCGCTACAGTATTTTTGTCCACAGTTTCTAACCCACTTAACCTTTACTCCTGCCAGTACACATTGTATACACATGCACAACAGTCAATATCCAACATGATCATATCCTACAGAATAGTTTCGCTATGCTAAGGACTCTCCATAGTGTGGTCTTAGCCAGAATACAGTGTAATTGGAAACATAAATGCGGTATTTTCAGACTGGCTTTTTTCCCTAGGTTCTACACACCTAAGGTTTCTCACCATCCTTTCATGGCTTAATAGTTCATTACTTTTTGGCTCTGAATAATAAGTACTCTACTTACTGTCTTCATGCATCACAGTTGATTTATCCATGTACTTAATGAAGGATGTCTTGGTTGCACCCAAGTTTTAGCACGATGAAGAAATTGACTATAAATATCTCCGTTCAGATTTTTGCATGGGCATAGCCTTCGATCCATTTGAGTAAATATCAAGCAGCATAATTGCTGGAATGTTTCTTAAATGAGTGTGTCTAGATTTGTAAGAAAGTCTCCATCTCTTCCAAACGGCGTGAAACATTCTCAGCAGCACTGAATGGGTGTTGCTGTTATTCTTGTCCTTAACGGATTCTGGCATTGTTATATTCTGGGGGTGGGGTCATCATGGAGGCAGAATATCATTTTCAGCTTTTTTTTTTTTTTTACTTTTAGCATGGGTGCTGGAGATCCAAACTCAGATCTTTATGAATGTGCAGCATGCACCTTACCCACCCAGGCCTCTCCCTAGTCTGACTTTTTGTTGAATTTTACAGGTTCTTTGTAAGGGTAATTGTTCTCTGTCCCGTGGCTTATTTTTTTTATTTTCTTATAATTGCAGGTGGGTTTTTTTTTTTGTTGTTGTTCTAATGTAGTCTAGCTTATCAAAAAATGTTTCCTTACTGCTGGTATTTTAGCCCAAAAGTCATCATCATTACCCAAGAGGATTTATAATTTTGTCTTCTTTCTTACATTCTGGGAACGTTTAGTTTTTCATGCTACACTATGACCCATTTGCGCTTAATGCCAATGTTATTTTTTTAATCAACCTTATGTTTTATTTTTTTTAGATATTTAAGAAGTTACAAAGATAGTGCAGAGGCTGTCCATATAGCCAGATTCCAGTTTCCTCTCTTTCTAACATCTTAAGTTACTACAGCATACCTGATTGGCTGTTTGAATGAAAAGTATCTTTATTCTAACATCTTTAGTTTCTCCTTAGTGTTTTGCACTGCCAGGACCTTTTCCATGGTACTCTGCTCCATGTAGAAATCACATCTTCCCAAGTTGCTCTACTAAGAAGAGTCTAAAGGTGATCAAGGTGCCCTGAAAATTCAAACATTCATAGAAACATACAAAATCATAAGCAGAGGAATAAAGGACTCAGGTATCCAATAGTAGACTAAAGAGCCAGCGCATGAGTGAAGAGTCATGTGATTGGGCCAGAGCATGATCCATGCAATGGCTACAACTTCTTGTTCTCCAATACCTACTGTGTTGGACTAGAGTTTCATTGTGAAATTTACCCAGGTCAGGGCCCAGAACCATGAGAATCTGTTGTAAAAGGGGGCGGTGGGCTACATTCTGGTGCCCGGCCACCCAGCTAGCTATTTACACTGGAAACAATTACACAGAAACTGTATTCATTTAAATACTGCCTGGCCCATTATCTGTAGCCTCGTATTGACTAACTCTCACATCTTGACTAACCCATTTCTAATAATCTGTATGTCACCATAAGGTCCTGACTTACTGGCATGTGTCTAGCCAGCGTCCATCTCGGGAAGGGGAATCAAGGCATCTGCCTGACTCTGCTTTCTTTTTTCCAGCATTCTGTTCAGTCTACTCCACCTATCTGAATTCTGTCCTATCAAAAAGCCAAGGCAGTTTCTTTATTAACCAATGAAAGTAACACATAGACAGAAGGCCCACCCACTCCAAGAATCATGATGCTGGAATTTTCACGAACACCTCACAGATGATTCCGACATCAGCCAAGGTTGAGATTCACTATGGTTCCAAAGTTGCCTCACAGCTAAAACTTCCATTCCTCTGATGGCTAGTCTTTATATTGGTTGAGACACGTGCAATTTCACTCCACATAGCTGGTGTAACACCTGTCTTTTCGCCTAGAAGTGCTTACATATTTTGTACTTATCTTGAAAGAGCCATCTATTTCCCTAACATTCCTGGCTAAAAAAGATTAGCATGAGAGCAGCTACAAAACATGTGACAAGTCAAAAATCAGCACTGACTTTGAATTTCTCTAAAACTGTGCTAAAATGGAATAGCACTTATGCGAAGTTAGATACTTTCTTTGATAGCTGCCTCCCATGTGCTTTATATCTATGAGAAGATAGTGCTAGCAACAGCCTGAATATCATAATTTAGCTTTTTTGCTTTGTCTTTTACTGTCTGTTGAAAATAAAGCTTAATGAAGATGAAGCATATATAAAGCAATGAAACTAGTTTTTCAATATTTAATGCCTACAATGGCATGTGTTGATGATGCTTTATTTTCATCTTTCAAAAATCAAAGTTCAGGTTGATAGCATCGTACTTTATTAATCGTCTTGTGCTTTTAAGGGTGCGAGGGTATATGCAGCAAATCCTGCTGGCTTGGTTTGCATCTTTGAAAAGTAACACAGGACATATTCAGAAAGACATAACCTTAGAGAGGTCTCTCTCACCATTCTACAGGGCCAGGTAACAGCTTCCTGTTTCTTTCCTTGTTTGTTGTAGGCCTAACAACTTGCCTGGGGAGTAAGTTACTGCCACTTAGATAGACAGTGCAGGTAGTGTCTGAAGATGACCCTTGAAAATATTATGTAAATGACTAAATCTGAAATTTAATTATAGCAAAAACCCATATAAGGCTGCAGGTGCAAAGGTGGATGGCATTTAAGCAATGTTGTCTATGAGGCAGTTAGATTTGCTCCATTAGATTCTTGTTTTAACATAGAGAAGCCTGTAATGGAAGACACTAGTAATATCCAACCAAGAAAATGAGGTACTGAATTTAAAAGGCATGGTGAGGCCTGTTTGAGTTACCACAGGGAAGTAAAAGTCATACCATTCAGAAGTAAATTAATGTCTGCCTAATGGTCAAGCATACTGTCTGCATATAAATACTCTAAAGTAAATCAACAAAATCTAAAAGCCAGGGGAAAACAATCTAGTTGAGTGAGCGTATTTTCAAAAGATAATCAGAAGTAAAGAAATGTGTTGGTGCACAGAGCATTTTTGAAAAGGAACACTGGAAAGATTGCAGTATACAAACAGGGATGTATAGAAGTAAGAAAAACGAAGAGTGACTCCCATGGAAGGCTTTACCCTGTCCAAGGAGAGGATGGGGAGGTCTGGTGGGGTAGAGCAGGAGGAGGCAAGAGTGGGAAAACCTGTGGTTGTATGTAAATTAAAAAATAAGCCTTAAAATGAGAGAAAAAAGAAAGAAAAATCAAAGAGGATAAAAGCAAGAGTGTGCAGCATATTAGAATAAGTAAAAGGTATTGGTCAAGTAGTCAAAGGATAAGACACATGCGAAGACAGAGAATGACTAAGAGAGAGGAATGTCAGTTTTCTAAAACAAAAAAAAAAAAAAAAAAAAAAAAACACCCAGACTGAATCCAATAGGCAAATCTTGTCAGCTGATATTTCACATCTGATGGTAGCATTACCAACAGCCTGTCCTGAGTGAACTTGTTCTTGGTGAGTTTCACCCCCTGCAGTTTGTCTGGAATGGTGATGCGCATTTTTGGTCTGATGAGTATTTTTAGGAATAAACAAAGCTAAAGCACATCCTTAGCCCTCAAAAGCAGAGGTGATCCCAAGTGACACCTCTGCAGGTGTCTACTGCCCTGAGTGACAAAACATTTCTAGATGACCCCCTTTATAGGTTCTGTTCTGGGGTTGTTTTGACTTACCTACAGTACAATGAGACATGATTTGAAATGCCTATCTAGGTATCCTCTGATGTGGACTTTGAAATGTCTTAATTTTTTAAATGCTTATAAGTACACAATGTACAACCATGGCCTCTTCCCGCTTTGGATGCTCAACCTTTTTCGTGTGATTTCTTCATATACATGGATGTTAGATAGACATGCAAAGCACCTGACACAGATTAAAAAATAATCAATGCCAATAAGTCTGTGTTCTTTCACCCTCACCTCCGTACCTGTCATTTCAAGTGGACCATTTAGGTTTCCCATACTTTCACTTCCACCTTGTAGAAATGGGGCCCATGTTTTGGTGTGTGTCTCTAGGAGGGAAGGTAGCTGAGATGGAGTGTATTGTAAGCCCTTGTGAATCTCCACAGAATCTGTCTGGCAAAGGCTGGCTATCTTTCATGCTGGAGAAGGGACTCACCCTAATTAAGCCCTGAACTGTCTGAGGACTCCAACTATCATATGCCTTCACCCTGTTTTCGCCATCCTGGGGTCTCATGTGTCATTACAACTCTGAGCTACCAAGAGGCTACGAGGTAGAACGTAGTGTTCCTGCAAATGGAGGGACTCTTGCCTGGCTCTCCTCCCAAGTACTCAGCTGCAGCTCATAAGTAGCAGTTCCATGTGAACAGTGAGAGATGCCCAGAAACCTGTTCTGCCGTCCACATTCACTGGCAAGCAAAGCACCAGGCATGTGGTCAGTCTGAATGACACTGGGATTTCTCCAGCAGGCTTTAGCACTTCAGAAGGGTAGTTGGTTTTATTATTTTTATACCAGCCAATCATCCAACATTTTAGATCCCCTGCTACTTGCCACATACCACGACTGGTTTGCTCAGGAATAAGAAAGTGAGACAGAATCCTAGCAACCAAAGGTGGAAATTAGACAGATAACGACAAATTGTCTAAAACACTGGTAAGTTTTGTGAGAAAAATGGTTTGGTCACCTATTTAAACACACCCAGGGACTATTTAATTTTTGAGGTTAGACACCATACTAAGAGCTAGGTACAAAATGATGAACACAGCAGACCAAAACTTGCCCTCGTCATGTTTACTTTCTGAAGGAGAAGGGGAGTCATTATATAGGTAAGTTAGTTATTTGTTCATTAAAATAAATGAGATCCCCAAATACATTGTGCTGTGGAAGAAATATTTGTCTACAGAAAATCTGGACACCTAGTTAAGGAACCCTGCTAACAGCCATGCTAAGAAGAGAAAAAAATTAAAGAGGATGGATGAAGTAAGGTAAAAATCTCTGAAAGTATTAAGGAGAAGCCCATTCTGATCAAGACAATAAGAAACCAGGGGATCCAAAGAAGGGAACTGCTTGGCTTACGTGATGTGTTGAAAAGGAGTCAGGGAGACTCATTCTGTGGGGCCTTAGGGATCACCTTTGTAATCATGATTCTCACCTGAGTAATACTGGAATACTGGCATAATGTGAATTTGAAGTGTTTGTTAATGAAGTCTCTTACATAATACTCCATAAATGGAGTAAGTCAAGAGAAGAAAAACATGGTTATGTTCTTGGCCATCTAAATATAAGAGAGAGCATACTAACATACATTTTAAAGGATAAGCTGTATTAATTTATTTTTCTTTTTTGAGACAAAGTTTCTCTGTAGCTTTGGAGCCTATTCTGGAACTAGCTCTCGTAGACTAGGCTGGCCTCAAACTCCCAGAGATCAGCCCACCTCTGCCTCCTCAGTGCTAGGATTAAAGGCATGAACCACCACTGCCATGCTTCTGTATAAAATTCTTAAAGGTTAGTGTTCCTGTTGGTGTGACTATGTGATTGGTTGGTAATATAGAAAAGATAGTGTTATGGCAAAAAAATGAACTTTAGGTCAAAAATATATTTTCTATGTAGTAGGATATACTGGTGCTTGTGGATACATTCATTTGTAAGATAGTGGAAGATGACCATGTTGAAGATCAAGTTCATTATGGTGTTCCTTGACATGTGAACATCACAATGGTATCAGAGAGTAGAGTCAGGGTATAGTTTAGACCACAAAAACTTCTAGTATATTTCAGAATAACAATATCTTAAATAGTTTACCTTAGTTAGCAACCAAAAGTAACATTGAAAAGGTGTCTGTGTGTGTGTCTGTGTGTGTGTGTGTGTGTGTGTGTGAGTGTATGTGTGTGTGTGAAGCTATTTTATTTGACCCATCTAAGCCTTGGGTATATTGGGTATAAATAGCTAAAGAGCCCTGATTTGAAAGAAATTGCTAGTATACTTAACAACTGACATACTTAGAAATTATGAGCACAGTTTATTTCTAAAAAGAATTGTAAAAAAATCTTAAGGAATCCCATTATCAATATCTCAGAAGAATAAATCAGAGTATTAAGCACATTGGTTAGCATTCTCCAGGTCACTGCTCCCTGCTGCAAACAAGAGTTTAAGAGGGTTCCAATGGCTACTTCCCTTTTCATCCTTGTGATGTTAAGGCTTGCAGATGTAAAAATTGGGTAACAATAGTTGGAGTTTAGGTTCCACCATTAATTCAACTTCTTGTTGCCCCTGGGTATAAAAAATAAAATGAAGAACAATTCCTGAGGCATCTCTTGTCATGTTTTGTGTTAGCCAAACAAACATTTGCTATTTAAAATTCAATGTATATTTATAAAAAACATTAATTCTCTGGTCATTCTATAGAATGCAAGAACTCTAATGCAAGACTGTGCAGTGGTTCCTACTGCTGTAACCTTTTAGTATCCAGCCTCTCACGCAGCAATAACTCGAACCATAAAATTATTTTCATTGCTACTTCATAACTGTAATTTTTCTACTGTTAGAATAATAATGTGTATATCTGATATGCAAAATGGTCTTTGGCAACCCCATGAAAGGGTTATTCAACTCCTGAGGGGTTGTGACCCACAGGTTGAGAACTGCTGCTGTAGCATGTTACTGCTAAGCAAACTTGAACCTCATGCAATATCACACAGAGAGACATTTTGGTTCTCTATTTCAGTGTCAGTAACTAGATTACCAGCAGGTTTGAACAAAAGGGAAATCCTATTATATAAAGAAATAAAGCTTAAGTCCATGCCATTGTGCTTAATAAACCTTGCATTATGGTTAAAGAAATCTTTAACATCATCTAGTCTATTTGTATTTGACCGTGTTATGTCTGCAAAGAACACTTCAAATCACTCCCACTGTGTCAAAGTATTTCCAGTGTATTTCCAGTATGATCCAACATATCATATGAGTATGTTTTACAACATACTGAATTGTAAACATATAAACAACATATATGAGTATGTTTTAGGTTGCACTTTGGAAGGTAGAGTTGTTTGGAGGCTTTTGTTTCATTTCGTTGACCATGGTGTGTGATTTTGTGATTAACAGCCATATTTCTGGTGATGTCATATAGGAAAACAAGCATTAAAATTCTGCCGTCATGTTTTCTTGGCATCTTGGCAATATTGCAAAGCAGGCATTTAGTACTGAGTAGCTAACTACTCCCCACCCGCTTTGTTTCTTAATTAGCATATTGATCTAAAGTGAATCCATAGGATCAAGCTTATTGAGACAGACGGCCAGTTTCACCCTCAAGAGATCATTGCAGCACACACACGGTTTCAGAAAATAAAAAATAGACACACTGTAGCATGTGGAGGCTGAGGATTTCATTAAAGACTTTTGGCATTGGAACCTGGAAGATACTTCAAAATAACTGTGTATTAACACATTTGTGTCACCACATATAGCAGGGGTTTTAATAGGACCAAACACAGCTCTCTGGTTTCCATTTAATAGAAAAAGTAATAAAGTTTAATTGTATACTTGAGTGCGGGGTGTCATTGCCGGCACATCTGATCAATAATTCATCGATTGCCTTTGGCCCAAAGTAAAATCTGAAAGAAAATGCAGCCAGGGGGAGCTTATCTAGCTCGAATCTCATCGTCTCTATTAATTATACTTCTCCTAAATTTGGATCATTAGGCGACCAAAGTGACAGCAGATGGTGAGCAAACAGGACAAGATGCTGAGAGGACCAACACAAGAGCAAAATCCTTGGAAGAATTCATTAAAGGCCTTGTCCAGGATGCTGAAGGTATGAGAAAAATCACATTTTTATTTTTATTTTTTCCCTACAGAAAAATCAAAAAAAGGATTTTATGGGGCTGCTATTCCCCTTGTAGAAATGTGTCCTTTCTAAATTCAAGTCTTAGGTTTAAAGAGTATTTTGGTTGAGCTACTTGGGGTTGTGATTAGCTGAAATCTACAGTCTACAGAGTCAAATGAGCAATGGCGGTTGATTATTTAATGATTATGGGTGTAGAATGGAAATCAGTTCCAGGATAATTAAACAATTAATTGAAAAACCTATGCTTGGCTATTTTTTCTAAGCAAAGCTATCTACAATTTATTAATCCTTTCTCTTTAAAAGTTATTTTTTTCATCCATTTGGTACATGAGCACTGCTCTTTCATGTCTTAAAACGGCCCTTCAAGTACTTGGTACCAGTTCTGAGAGAGCATCTGTTGCTCAGGATTTGGCTACATGAGTTCACTAGAGGCTCCCTGGCATGTAGACCACAATTCCCCAGGAATTAGTTCTTGGCATCTCCTGATATGACTGAGAATTAAAGTGGAAGCCGCTTCTTTGGGCACAAGCCCAGACTAAGAAGTCCTTAACACTTCAGTCTCTATAAATAAATGTTCAATATGCATGCATGCTCAGAAGACTCAAAGAGTGGTTTCTTTCTTTTTTTTTTTAAGAAGCTAAGCGTCTTCATTGTTCTACAATGGTGCGAACTTGTTCTATTTTGCTTTGTGATATAGAAAAAAAATAGAGGGAATGGAAGCTAAACTTCAAGGCAAATTCTGACTGGTGGTCTAACATCAATAACGACTGACTCCCCCATTGCCTGGAGCAATGGTGTTTTCAAATGAGTCCATTCTGAAGTACAACACGTTGCTTTCTATAGCAAAGTTTCTCAGTTACCTCGCTGTGCTCCTTGGTCTGGTCCATGAAACTGTTTTGTTCTCCCTGGCATTATTTTCCATGGATGCTGTTTGAAAATGTCCCCAAACAACCGATGTATGACACAGAGCCCTTCTCTTGCACATGGATCTCTGAAGGTAACCTTTCCCATCTTCCGTCTGAAGTCTCAAACACTCAACATCCAACAGACTCCTAGTGCCTCATGTTAAAATCATTTCAGCTTTGGTCTGGGGGTCAGTGCTTAAGAGGAGCTGCTGCTCCTGCAGAAGACTCACCTTGGATTCTGAGCACTCCCATCAGGCAGCTCAAATACCTCCTGTAACTCCAGTTCCAGAGATGCAGCTCCCTCTTGTGGCCTGTAAAGGCATCTGCATGCATGTGGTATACATACAAATACACAAGGTGTGATTAAACAAATATTTTGTAAAAAGCCACTTGTTTGTAAACATAACTGCTAATATATGCTTCAGTATTCACCAGGGTCATCACTGCTTGCTTCCTTCTTTGAATTGAATCCCCCACTCCCACCCCAGAGAGAGACACAGTATAGTTGCTAGTTTGATCAACATGGGCTTTTTTTTTTTTTTTTTTGGTGTTTCTTTGTTGTTTTTCTGGATACCATCTTACAGTTTGTACACCACACAAAGTCACCACTAGGGACTGTATCATGAATTTTAACTGCTCTTAACAATAAAAACTACGAGTCAGCTATCATGGGTGAAAGAATCAGAGAAGCAGAGAGGCCAGGCACTAGGGTTCTTACCTCTACGAACGTTCTGACCAAAGGGGTGATCCTGTCCTCAGACTGACTGCTTCCTCAGACTGACTGCTGTGAGCTCCTGTCTCCTCCAGCCTCATATTCCTCTCTCTACCCAGTCATAGTCCTTCCTGTCTCCACTTTCTTAGTGTTAAGATTGAAGGCATGTGACTCCCAAATACCAGGATTAAAAGTGTGAGACACCACCACTTGACTCAGTTTCTCTTTTATGCTGGATTTATTTTGTGTAGCCCAGGGTGGCCTAGAACCTACAGGGATCTGTCTGCCTCTGTCTCCTTAGTGCTAAGATTAAGGTTTTGTGTCACCATTGTCTGGCCTCTATGGCTAACTAGTGTGGCTATCTCTGCACTCTAATCCTCAGACAAGATCTTTTTGTTAGATCATAAACAAACTATCACCACGAGGGACAGTGTAAAGATAGTATTTCACCACATCTATGGTCTGTACTCCAGATGAAAAAGCATTGTCAATTGTAAGTGGTAGCTTTCATTTCTTCTATTATGCTTTGGTCAGACAATCTGAATATATCTGTGCAGCGACAGCACCATTTTCTTCATGTAAGGTATGTTGCAAGGAACCACTTGTTCGTCCTGGCTATCAGAACCAAAATAATCACACAGAAACTATTAATTAAATCACTGCTTGGCCCATTAGCTCTAGCTTCTTATTGGCTAACTCTTACATCTTAGCTTAATTCATCTCCATTAATCTGTGCATCACCACGAGGTCATGACCTACCAGCAAAGTTTCAGCAAGTCTATCTCTGGTGGTGGCAGCTCCATGGTGTCCCCTGCCTCTGTCCTTCTTTCTCCCAGCATTCAGTCCAATCCTCACCACCTACCTAAGTCCTGCCCTATCAACAGGCCAAGGCAGTTTCTTTATTCATTAATGGTAATCACAGAACACAGAGGGGACTCCAACATCAAAAATATCATGTGGGATAGCTGTATCTGAAGAAATAGGAACAAAGCTCACTTCTGCCAGCAGACACTCACAATTAAAACAAAGTTAAAATTTGCATATACCTGAAATATGCTAAATTCAAGCTAAGATGTTCTGTAAGATTGGCTACAGAAGGCTTAACAGTTTATGGGAGAGGAGAAAAAAGGGAAAGGAAATAAGGAGGGAAGACAATAAAGGAAAAAGACAGGGAGGAGGGGAAAGAATTGCCTAAAGATTAAGCAGGTTATCCTACATAGCCACACTTTCTTTTCCTTGACCTAATATTCAGTAATGGGGGTATTAGGACGACTTTTGTATTTTATTAGCGGCAGTACATTGCTATGGGAAAGCAGATGCTTCGGCCTGGCATTTGTCTGTTTCAGTTTTGTTTAGATAGATGAAGTGCTCACCTATCATAAAGTCTTGCATTATGAGTCATGGCCTCTACACAGACAATCAGCTTCCATTCAACCACGATGTATTTTTATATCTACTGTAATTGTACATCTACTATGCCGTGACTCTTGATCAGATTATGAGGGAGCTGCATTTTATCTCATGGGTTAGAATTAATGAAGGACAGAGATCAACTCCATTAGTGTTTATGTCGTGACTTATAGCGGGAATTTATTAATACTAGACATTTTCTTTCTTGTCTGGTTCTCAGAACAGACTAGCAAATTTCCTCCAGGATAAACTTACTGGTAAGAGGGTTTTTCAGATTTAACAAAGAGAACATATTTGCTTCCTCCAAGAAGTGGGTTGGTTTTGTTTTACAGATGCTTTTCTTAAGAAGGCCCTCTTTGTTCTCTGCTGTGCATAGGCTGCTGTCAAAATTTGAAGCTAGTTTAGGATATTTCAGAACAAACAATATGGCTCGCCTTTTCATCTAGAAACATTTCCTTACTTCTCATTTTTTTCTTTTCCTCTTGTGTCCCCTCATGGTGATTTTACCCTCACTTTAAAATATTTCAATTACCATAAAACCCTCTTCTGAAAGAAGATCAGAATAAGTAGAGTCAATTCAAGTGGTATGTTCTGCACTTATTTTCAGCTTGGTAGGAAATGTATTGAAAGGGGCACTGCATACCTTGGAATGAAGAATTAAATAATATTGATCTTTAGTTTAAATTCTGATTCTACCTACATCCGCAGTAGAGGATCAAACCTTGTTTACTCAACTAGCTTTCTTCTCAGTGCTGGGGATTGAGTTGAGGCCTCATGCATGCTGGGTAATGTTCTACCATTGACCTCTGATCCAGTCCCTTCTATTTACAAATTTTGTTTTCCTTCTTAGTTCAGCATCATGTTGTTGCAGCCAACTGTGTGTGCCCTGTTGATTTCTTTATGTCTTCACATTACATTTTAGTGGAAAAAATGTGACATACATATTCCAAAAGATGCAGCTGAGGTCTGTGTTTCCTTCATCTAATTCTCTGATCACTTTTTTCCTACCAAATTCTTCTCTGGGGAGATTTATCTTTGGGAACAGACTATAAAAGACACTTTAAGATAGCAGAGACCCCGTCTCTACCTACTATCACACGGAGTCAAATTTTGCATTAAGATTTCAGAAGGAAAATAATCATGACATCTACAGCTCTGATAATCAGGAACAAGTGTTTGTTGCAACAGCTTTCTAAACAAACACATTTACAAGGAAAAGGGGTGATTTGGAAAGAGCAGCTGAGATATACACAGCTTCTTGCATTCGTCAGTGTTCTTTATACCCCAGCAAAAACTTCTGGAGGAATTGGTCAAGCACCAGAATGCTAGTTCTGGTTTCGCAGACTCTTTGTCTGAGTCAGTCTGTGGCAGGACCTAGGAATCTTCATTTCCAAAAAGCTGCTGCTGCCACTGGATGGGGCACCACATCCTAAGCCATCTAGTCAAAGACCCCCCTGACTGCTGTGTGCATCTGACTTGGAAACTCTGCATACTGCAAACCTGAAAGAGCAAATCTCTCCAGTAGGGAAAGTTCAAGATTTATTACATCTTAAAGAGGTCTTCAAGTAAACCTTTAAATGTTAGAAAATACCTCTAGGGCAGGCCAGACTCCTCACTCGGAGGATTTTCATGGTAATAATGTAGAAGTATATATTCAAAAGACAAAGAGTTTGAGAAAATATCTCCCTTCAACTCACCAAATTAACGTCCCATAGAACATCCAGAAACTGTGAGGCCAAATGAATGCTAGAGCTACGTAACTGTTTCAATTCACCAAGTTTTTAAAGTTTCATTTGACAGAGAGTTCTTTTTCCAAATGAAATCTTGCCCAGAACGCCGACCTATCAAGCAGTTTCTTGGCAGAACAGACATCATTTGTAGAGTACTTGAAGCTCCTGGAGAATGCTAATATTCCGAAGAGCACAGTTTGAAATCCCACTTACTGCATAGTAAACACAGTCTCCGGGATAGATGTGACTGCTGAAGACATGCATCTTTATGGCCCAGTCTATGTCCCTCCTCCCTAAAATGTTGTTCCTTCCCTCCTTTAAAAATTTAAGATGAGGAGTTGTGAAGATGCAAAGGCAGGTCCATGTTCAGTGACTTCACAGATGATAACGTTTCCATTCTCAGTATCCTAAAACTGACTGGGTATGACTGGTCACCGATGCGAATGATCTTGTGTATTCGATCACATGGTGTTAACCTATACATCCCGTCTTTACCTTTGACCCAAAGAGAATCTGAATCTGTTCCTTATTTATATGTCCTCCTTTTGAGGCTAGACAGACAATATTTTCATTGCTGTGGTTTCTCAACAGAAGTTTAACATAGAGAGCTATGTCACATTTTCTCCATCACTGCCAACTGTCATGGTACCCACCTCTGGTTCTCAAACAGGGACACCCTGGAGATAGGGAGAAGACCAGATGTTGAATGCCAGCTTTGCACGTACCATTTTCATTACTCAATTTACAAAACTTATCTTACTGCCCTCATTCAGATGTACATGAAAAGGCTGTAAAACTAAATGAAACGTTGGGAAGTCAAGACAAGACTGTGGAGAGAAACTTGCAAGAGCTTCAGAACGACATTGATCGGATGCTGAAGGAACTCAGAAGTAAAGATCTTCAAACACAGAAGGAAGTTGCTGAGGATGAGCTGGTGTGAGTAGATGTTCTGCGCTCTTTTCATTTCATCCATTGAATAGCATCATTAAGAGTTTCCCATGTTTCTATCCCATAAGTGAGCAGAAGATGTTTTTTTTATTTTTGTTTGTTTTTTGGGTTTTTTTTGTTTTTTGCTTTTTTTTGTAAATCCAGGGATGTTTGCTATTATTTATTTTTCATGCTTCATTTAGTTCCCTATTTTGCCTTAAAATTAATTAAAAGCATGTTTTTCTATCTATAGAATAATAAGTAAAAGAACTTTTTGTGTTGTCTTTCATAAGTAGGCCGATAGGCTTGATTTGCTAATGACTGGTATTAGAAGCGTTTGAACTATCAATAAGCTTACAAGGCTGAAGGTATGACTTGGCTAGTAGGGGTTTGCTCTTGATGCACAACACCCTACTTTGATGCTCAACACTACATAAGGTGGACATGATGAAACACCTGTAATTCTACTACTTGTGAGAGCAGGAGGATCTGAAGTTGAGGGTCATTCTTGGTCACATAGCCAACCCAAGACCAACCTGATATACATGAAATCCTGTCTAAGGAGGAGAGAAAGAGAAGGAGAAGGAAGTGGGGAGAAGGAGATGCAGAAGGAACGAAAAAGAGAGACAGGAAGAAGGGGAAAAGGAGGAAGAAGAGGAAGCAATGACCACCAATTTGATAAATGATAAATAAGTCACATTTTAACATTTTAGGAAATGCTGGTAACTTAAATCAAGGACTTTCTAGATCACTGGGTTGTAAAAAAAAAAGTAGAGTCAATTAAAATGAAGAGGTTTGGGGATTTAGCTCAGTGGTAGACCTTAGCAAAAGCAAAGACCTGATTTGGTCCTCACCTTAAAAAAAAAAAGACAAAATGACAAAATTATGGTATTATTCTAGCATGGAAAAACCCTGAGAGTTCTATCTACAGTTGCCTAAGCAAACAGTCTCTCCTCATAGTCAAAGAAAGTATCACATTGTGATGGGACAACTGGCATTTTGTTCTGTTTGCTTTTGTATGTACAGTAAAACCAAACTTTTCTTTCATTGGTCACATTGTAATGATGGTATAATACCCCTAAACAATTAAAAAGTATAAGGTTACTACTATATTTAATACGTGTCTTTTCAGTTTTAATAAAAATTCTGCCACAAGCAGACACCAGTTCACTTTGACTTGGTGCATAGTGAATCTATTGGTGTGTTTTCACATATTTTTAACCTTCTTGTGTTAGCATCTCCTTGTAACATAGCTTAATATAAGTAAACCTTATGATGCCTGCTTGGGCTGGGGGTGTTTACAGGGCAGCAGAAAGCCTTCTGAAGAGAGTAAACAGGCTGTTTGGAGAGCCCAGAGCCCAAAATGAAGAAAGGGAAAAGGATCTCCGTGAGAAACTGGCAGATTACAAGGACAGACTTGATGATGCTTGGGATCTACTGAGAGAAGCTACAGAGAAAACACGAGATGCTAATCGCTTGTCCACTGCCAATCAAAAAAACATGACCATTTTGGAGGTGAGAGTCACGAGCCCTCTCATCACTGTCTTGGAAATGGGGAGCAGGTTAAATTCATCTAGAATTGTGAAGTTCACAAAGGTTAAGACTATGACTCTAGGAGGTCATCTAAGAAACAAACAGAGAGAAAGTGTGTATGTGTCTGTGTGTGTCTGTCTGTCTGTTCATCTGGCTGTGTCAGTTAGAATATGGAGGGTCTATAATGATGGTATGGAAGAAGCTCTTCCCTGAGAGATGGGAACCTCCCCATCAATGGCAAGTGTATCAACACCTAGAACTCCAGATGGTCTCAGTTCGTCCCCTAGCTCTACAATGAGTGCATTATAACGGAACATGCATAGACAATTGCTAAGCCCCAGTGTCATACAATTTTGTAGTTCACCAACCTGATTCACAAACTGAATTCAGAGATGTGGATGCAAACAATCACTACAATTCCCTCTGCTTGTGTGGAAACTGAGCATATGAGAGACCCGAGAGAACAGAGTGAGGGAACCTTCATGTCTTTCCTCTCAGGAATGAGTTCATGGACAAGGACATTTTTATTGGGTTTAACATGACAGATGAGTCTGGGTTGTTCCCCTCCTTTCTCTAAGAGAACAGACACCATATACCAGAGTGCTGCTGAACTTTAAACACAATAGGTCCTTTTCAGCATCCCTTTTCCCCTCTATCCTTTGATCGCTCTCTTGCTTCCTTTTTTCTTCATCCTTTCATTTTCTTCATTGATCGTAACATGACTAATGCTTGGGTTCTCTGGGAGGGCATGCAGTGTACACAGTGGCACAGAATTGTGTTTGGTGTCTAAACACCTTTCCCTCCACACACATCCCACCTCTTGCTGTTCCCAATGGATCCAAATGCTGCAAGAAACCCACAGCTCTGCTCATGTGGAATTTCACAGTCAGCAAGAGCCCAATCCTCCAGTGCTGCACAAGATTTCTATAATGTTTGTTGAATGTCACCGTCAGAGAATTAAACCAGCCACACGTTTTAGTTTTTGTTCTTCTAGTTGATCTGTTTTCCTTTGGGTCCAAGGAAAACAAATTAAAGGAAAAACTGGGGAAGACATTCCCTCTTCTGGGATTTAACCTTGTCACAGTGGTAGAAGATGGAGGAGGTGGGCTTTTGCTAGAAGTCCTGTATCTGATCTTAACCAAATCAGGGACCACTGACACACTAGCAGTAATCAAAAGAAAGCAATATCTGGAGAGCCACAGAAGGATGAGGCTGTCCCGTCACGGGCTCCATCATGACACACTCAGCTCTGGAACACCCCAGTGCTGCACCCAGAGGTATGCCTCTCTATATGATGGCAACAGTTGAAGACATTAGAATCCCTTGTGTGGAAAGCATACTGAGTATTTGAGAAGTGTTTCAAGAAGAGTTATAGTGGAGCATTGAATGGGGCCTCCGGCTGCTTCTCACATTAGTGATGTGTAAAACCAAGCATCCCTGGCAGATGCTTGTGCCTATGCAGTCAGCTCTGGAGTTCCATGTCTTCATTTATGTGTTTTTGTTTCATATGTCAGGCTTAACTGAAGTCTTATTTAAATACTTTCAGGATAAGATAGGTGGATTTTGTAAATTGTCATGAATAAAGTATGGTGGTTTTTGTTTGTTCATTTGTTTATATCAGTAGGGATACTAATCTGGTAGGTGCCAGACTAACCTTTATCACATGTCATTTAGGGCCATTTGAGATGACTCAGTGGATAATGCCTGTGCCCGAGCCTAAAAAAACTGACCCCTTGTGGTGGAGAGACCTGACTCCTACAGGTTCTTTTCTGACCTTCATGTGAACATTTACACACACACACACACACACACACACACACACACTTGACTAAAGAACTCATTAATGAGACATTGTCTATGATCCATGAGCTTGTGTGCAGAATCTTCATAGACTGGTCTAAGGTGTTACTGGTGTCCATTCTTAAGATTTTCGAATTCGCTTACTGGCCACACAGATTTGAGAACCGTGGTCTTAATAATGAAATGGCTTTAAATTTCTGTTGTACTGCACCTGCTATTAAGATAATAGTAAGAACCAAGTCAAATGGATAGTTATTTATTTATTTTGAAATAACCAGCTAGTAACCTTGTTCTTAAAAATAGCCTCCAAAGTTGGAAATGGTGACACACACCTGTAATGTCTGTGCCTGTGAGGTGCACAAAAGGGTAATAACGTCCAAACTATACTGGCTACATAACAAGACCTCATCTCAAAAGACAAACGAAACAAAATAAATCCTCTAGTAACTCAGACACAACCTCAAGTCTAAGCACACTGATGAAAAACAACAACTCTGATGGTTTTAACAACCTGAACTGACTTGGAGGGACACACAGGCAAAGAGCAAACCATGCTAGCACTTCAGTAATTATCATGGAAGTAATGAAGTGGATGGGCAGCTGCTCTGCCGCTTTGTAAAGCTTCTGACACTTGTTCTGGACCCAGAGGATAGGTCCCATTTGATAGAAGTAGGGGTAAGGAACATTTCAGAAATAGGGGAAGTCACATGAAAAGAAATTCAGGAAGAGAGGTAACATAACTGACAGAGAATTCATGGTTGGTAGAATTGGAAACGAGTACCTGTGGAAGAATTACATAGATATCCAGTGCATAAAAGCATATTCCAAACTTTGAGCTACAAGAAAATTGGATTATGTGACTAAAGAATTTTGTTCACAGTTTAAACACTATAGGAAGCAGCAAAAATACAGAATCATATATTAAAGTTACACATTAAAGGGTTTGTTAGGGGCTTACATAAACTGTAACCTCAACTTTGTGTTTTAAATACTGTTATTCTGAGCAAAGAGAGCAACCTGACCTAACATTTAAATGTTGATCAAATCTAACCGCTGTTTGTCACTCAGCCATTTCAGGTTGAATATGAATAATTACTAACTGAATCAAATTTATAATGTAAAAAATCTAGACAGTTTATATTTTCTCTATATTTAATGTTGTAATTTATAGTGGCTAGGAGGACGAAAAATATTTGCAAAAATAATAGCATCACACCAAATATTGTGAGAAATTGATAGAATGAGAGAACACTATGCACATAAATAAGGAACTGTGAAGGTAAAAGGGGAAGAAATTCCGAGTAGAGCAGGTCATATCATTTCCAAGTTGTGTAAAAGTCAGTAATGAAAGAGATCTCTGCCAATGCCATTTGGAATGAGACCACAGAAGGCTTTGAACTCAAACTATTGCAAGGGCATTGCTAGCAATGGAGAGGAAACAGGGTAGGGGATCAGATGAGCAACCTAGTGAAGCAAAGGATACATACTGAACCCTCTGCCCCAATGTCTACTCTTAGAACTTGACTGAAGAAAAGACTGTAAGAAAGAAAGCTAAGTTGATACATGAAGGTTTATGGGGGCTGGTGTTTGTAGGTGCCTACAAAAGCTACCTGATGCACAACAGCAAAAGAGAACAGGGGTATTGCTCTTGATGGGCTCTGAAGGAGTAAGGATCTAATTAGCTAGAAATGAAAGGTAGGAATATATTAAACTTATATATCTAAATAGAATGAGTTAATTATGATTATGAAATACTTTCTATATTTTTAAGAATGTCATGAATGCATATAATGTGTTTGATCAAATCCATCACTCACTCTCTCCCCTGCAAATTCCCTCTTATACAGCCCCACATTCTCATTCCAACCTCATACTTCTTTCTTTCTTTTTTAAACTCATTGTGTCCACTTAGAGCTACCAGTATGTGCGTAGATAGAAGGCCATAGGCTAGAGTTCAGATAGCCCCCCAGGGGGGCTTCATTCCTAAAGAAAACTGATTCTCCCTCCCATAGCAGCCATTATTTGTCAATAACTCCTTAGAGGTGTGGCTTGCTGAGAAAAAAGAGAGAAAAGAAAGGAAGAGAATGAGAAAGAGAGAAACATACCTGTTAAATGCTTCACTTTCTTCTATTAATGATATATTTGGCCTTTGGTGGAATATTTAAGATCCATACCATACTAGTCTTCCAGAGGATTCACAAGAAATATATTTTTAATTCTGATTGTATCCTTAGAACCTTAAATGGTGTTCAACACAGATACAGAAACACACTTATTAATCAATAAGAACAGAAGAAGCCAGGCAGTGATGGTGTGTGCCTTTAATTCTAGCACTCGGTAGGAAGAGGCACGTGGATCTCTGAGGGCTTGAGGTCAGCCTGGTCTACAAGAACTGGTTCCAGGACAGGTTTCAAAGCAATAGAGAAACCCTGTCTATAAAAACAGAAACAAAAGCAAAAACAAAACAAAACAAATAAAATAAGAAGAAGAACAGAAGAATGTCATAAAGCAAAGAGAAATCAATGTTTTCTTTGATTTTTATTTATTTATTTATTAAAAATTTCCACCTCCTCCCCACCTCCCTTAATAAAGAGGAAGGGAGAGGTGGGGAGGGGGAAGTCCAAGGTCCTCCCCCCTCCATCCAGGTCTATAAAGGTGAGCATCCAAACAAACCAGGCTCCCACAAAGTCAGTTCATGCAGTAGAATAAAAACCCAGGCCATTGTCCTTCATTGACAGCCACATTCAGAGTGTCCAGTTTGATCACATGCTCCATCACTCCCAGTCCAGCTGGCCTTGGTGAGCTCCCATTAGATAAGTCCCACCGTGTCAGTGGGTGGGTGCACCCCCTCGTGGTCCTGACTTCCTTGCTCATGTTCTCCCTCCTTCTGGTCCTCATTTGGATCTTGGGAGCTAAGTCCAGTGCTCCAGTGTGGGTCTCTGTCTCTATCTCCATCCACTGCCAGATGAAAAGTTTCAATGGTGATATGATAGATATTCATCAGTGTGGCTATGGGACAAGGCCAGTTCAGGCACCCTTTCCTCTGCTGCCCAAGGAACGATCTGGGGATCTTTCCTTGGACCTGGGAACCCCTCTAGAGTCAAGTCTCTTGCAAACCCTAAAATGACTCCCTTAATTAAGATATTTACTTCCCTGCTCCCATATCCACCCTTCCTCTGATTTTTCTAGAGCTCCAAACCTCCATATTCCTTGTTTCAAAGCTAGAGCCTTTCATCTAATCTGAAAATTAGCCACCTTAAAACTTCTTTACTCTTTAGATCATCATTTGCTTTAGTGTGATAAGGATGTCATGACCCTTATGTTACAGTTGGCTCCCTAAACTAACCCAATTAAAACTTTAAACAGATACTCTATAGCTTATTTCAATGCAAATAGATATAGTTCTTTGCTTAACACACCGACGGAAATATCTCTCCTTCCCATTGGCATAGAGCTTTTTAACTATGTATACAGTGTTCTCCTGCATGTATGCCTACATGCCAGAAAAAGGCTCCAGATCCCATTGTAGATAATGTGAGTCGCTGTGTGGTTGCTGGGAATTGAACTCAAGATGTCTGGAAGAGCAGCCAATGCTCCTAACTTCGGAGTCATTTTACTAGCCTCAGCAGACCTTGGTGCCTTGCTACAAGTAAATCACAATGAAAAGAGCACTTTTGAATTTCTGTGTGCAATGTACCTTTACATACATTTATACAGAGCTAGGGACTAAGTGGCTATTATTTAAAGAATTCCAGGCCCTTGGAAGCAAAGATGTGACTGGAAATCGGTGACACTGGAACTTTTACTGCAATTTTTGCAAGGAAAGCAGCAATCACAAATCAAATACTTCCCTGCACCTTCCAAAGACACAATGGCTCAGTGAGCTGTGTCACTGAACAAGCCGAAAGCTTCCCTTTCATTCACTCATTCAAACCTGCTCACTGGGGAAGTTCATAGAAGTACTAGAGAGACAGTTGCTGCATAAAACTGTTTCTATGGGACTCACGCTGTAGTGAAGGATATATTCTTGGTTCCAATTAGCAAGTTTATGAAACGCTTAGAAGCCTGGACATGTGAGCTAATATACAGGGTAATGGTTTGTTGGTTATTTGTATAGTGTATAATGGTTATACAGTGCATGATCTGAACCCCACACTATGATTCTTCATTAAACATTCTATGCATTGGCCATTGCTATGCCCAGTTCAGTAGGTTGTGTCTTTTCAGTGGTCCCTGTACATGCATCTGTGATGTGTTTATTTCTCTGATGTCCATTAAATAACTAGTGATTTTTAGAACCCCCCCCAAATCTAATCATGATCTGTCAACATGTATAGAAAATAAAAGTCATTTGTATGTCTACAATTGGTGAAACACCCCCACAGAATAAATTTTAAAGAAGCCTTAGATGTGACTCGGTTGACAAAGCGCCTCCCACACACGCTCAAGGTCCTGAGTTTGCATCCTCAGAACTCATACAAAAGCTTTATGCTGCAGCCTTGTCTGTAGCCCCAGGGTTTAGAGATGGGCAGATCCCTGAAGCTCCTCAGACAGTCTGCATAGCCAGATCCTTGAACTCTGTGTTCAGTGACAGATGCGGTGTCAAAACTAAGATAAAGATATCTGTTTCAACATATGCACATGTATGGATTTGTAAATGTACCTACTTTGCAGATATGCATTTACCTACCTAAACATGATTATACACTATACACAAGAGCAAACACTCAGGTTCACACACACACACACACACACATACACACACACTTCTCTCTCTGTCTCTCACACACATACACACACATATTAACACACAATCATAAATACACACACTCACATTCACACACACAGAGACAATAATTGAAAACTAAAAACAAAACCAACAATATAATGGTTAACAATTGCACAGCATTTCTTTATGCCTGGCAGTTATAAGCCAAGTCTTTTTTTTTTTTTATTAAATTTCACAGAATCCTGAGTTCTTGTTACCGTGTTGGTTCTGAGTCAGTACTTCCCAGAAAGAATTGAGATGCTACATTTCTAGCAAGCTTCCTGTTGAGACCCATGCTGCTAGAAAATGAGCCACACTTTGAGTACTGAGGAACTATGCAATTTGTTAGAGGCCACACTGCTTGCTCAAAATCTTGTAAGGTTTGTAAGTTGGGATTCGTCTCAGGCAGGCTGTTACCTGGATGTGGTGTGCTTTACCTAGCATGCACATAACAATTAGGAGGAACACAGGTGATTTTTCAGGTCGACAGTCAGGGAACTGGCCATGAACAGAAAATACAGAGGAACAGAGCCAACGGACTAAAGAATATGTGGGAGAGGGAACTGAAAAGATGTGTGTACTGGGATCATGGTGACATGGTGGGTGATAAAATTAGGAAAAGGAGGTTTGAAGCTGGCACTCACTCATGCAAATCAGAAACACGATTTTGGTAGTGTAAGAGATAGTCCCTATACCACTCAAGATCCAAGGCCTGTTAGGTAGATAGGAATTACACTTTAAATATTTCTGTTTAAGTGAATGTGTGTGTGTCTGAACGTATGTATGAGGAGCACATGCATGCAGGAGACCAGGGAAGTCATAGAAGGCATTATTCACCTGGAACTGTAGTTATAGAAGGTTGTGAGCCACTGAGTGGGTGCTGGAAACTGAACCTTGTCATCTGCAAGAGCAGAAAGTGTCTTAACTGCTAAAGTATCTCTCCAGCCCCGCCCCCACGTGCTACTCTTCTAACTTCGCCATGTTGTCTGTGATTCCTCAGTTAGTGACTTAGTTCATTCTGACTGCCATCACAAAATCCAGAGCTGTCTAATTTAAAGGCAAAATAAATATATGTCATATAGTCCAGGGGCAGCGGGTAGAGGAGGATTAGTGCTTGGTGAAGGTCGATTTGCTGGCTCAAAATCTCATCTCTTTGCTGGATCCCTACATGGTGCATGGGTGAATAAGCTCCCTTGAGTCTCTTTTGCAGGGGCACTGACCCCATTTATGAGGTTTCTGCTACATTCTCTCATCATCTCCCAAAGGCCCCACCTCCTAACACTAATACATTGGACTGTTGAATTTCAGCATAGAAATGTAATGGAGACACAAGCACTGAGACCATAGCACTGCAGTGACTCAGTTTCTAGTTTATTTCAAGTGGATGAAGATGGGACCCATAGAATCAAAGGCTTATAGGCTACTCTGTGCATCTTAGAGAACTACACATCTATAAGTTATCGTTAGTATTTATCTATATGAAAAACATATAAAGGCCGAGACTAACATTCTAATTGATTTCATTAAACACGTAGGGGAAGAAGGGTAGGCAGAATACGAATGAGTTTAAAGTACAAAGGAAATAACAGGCAAATGCAAACTCCACATGAAGACATGGCAGTAATTCTCTTCCATTGATTTTCTTCATCTAGGTCAGGAATGAGCTTCATGTAGCTTTGAGACAAGCCATAAATTTCATAGAGAAGTTAGTCTGTTGTCATTTTATGAAATAATCCATTAGGTTTATTCTTGGGAGGAGGTAATTTCTTCTTCTTAAAAGTTATTCTCTCTAACTTCCCTTAAAAATCCCAGCTTTTGAATTTATGGTATTTCCCTAGAGTACAGTTATGCTCACAAAGAACTATTTCTGTGTTCATTCTGGAACTCATCACGTTTTTCTGGTTTAATCTGGCAAACTAGATCCTGGTAGCACATGGCCAGCATGTGCATTGTAGTTAAGATAAAGGTCCCACTTTGATTTAGCAATCCTGTTAACTCACTAGTAACTATCACATTACTTTTCTTTGCCTGGACGGCTTTCTTGAATGGGGAAGAGAAATGACCTGTGTATGCTAGATGTTGAGGAATTCCTAAGAGGGTTGAGTTAAGAGAAGTAAGTTACATCATTGTCATCTGGCCAAACTGTCATTATATACTTTGTTAGTGAATCTGTTATTCAGACAGCTCGGGGGAAATAGGAACCCCCAGTAGAGATGGGTTTTACCCAGATGCTGGTGTAATATCGTTTTCTTTGTATGCTATAGAAAAAGAAAGAGGCTATTGAAAGTGGCAAACGACAGATAGAGAACACTTTAAAGGAGGGCAACGACATACTCGATGAAGCCAACCGACTTGCAAATGAAATCAACGCGGTCATAGATGTAAGTACTGAATAAAGCTCAGAACACAGAGAAAGAATCTGATGACTTAATTCCTTCCCACACAGGCAGCAAAACTCGGTCACAGAAACAAAAGCCTCTATTTGTTTTTGTGTAAGAATATATTATTGCAGTACAGTGTTGGGGACATGCGAGTCATGTTAACAGTTGGAACCTATCTTTATTGGAGTACTTACTTATGCATGCTTGGGTTGGTTTTTTTTTCTACTTCTCTCATTATTTTTCTTATCATGGTGACCAACTCATTCCTTGTTCCTAGGCCAGCACTTACCATCTGTTTTGTCATCTCATATAGCGTTAGTTAAAGGAGAAATGAAAATCTGCAAGTAAACCTTTGGCCTACTGTCTCACACGTTGCATTGGGACATGTGCAGGAATAAGGATACAAAGATCTAAAAGGTCCTCATAGTTTTCACATGTTCAGTTGTTGCTATACAGTAATCTTACAAGAAAAACACTTTTATAAATGGGCTTCATAAAGTTCTATGATTTCTATTAAATAACTGTTTTTATTCTCTATTTGCTGTGCTAGTAGACTGAATGTTTTCTAAAAAAAAAGAAAAAAACAAGCATATGTGATTGTATCTCCCAGAGAAATTAGGAAATTCAAGGAGGCCTGAGTGAACCTGCTCTTAATGCCGTCTCTTCTCTCTCCGTACCAGTACGTCGAAGACATTCGAACTAAGTTGCCACCGATGTCTGAGGAGCTTAGTGACAAAATAGATGACCTCTCTCAGGAAATAAAGGACAGGAAGCTTGCTGAGAAGGTCTTCCAGGCTGAGAGCCATGCTGCTCAGCTGAATGAGTCGTCTGCTGTGCTTGATGGGTACGCCATGTGTGCTTAGAAATGTCTGCAGAGCTTGACACTCATCCAAAAGTTTAGACAAGCAGAAAGGGCAGAAAATCACTTTCAAGTCTTGATTTCCATAATTATGAACAAAAGAGCCGCATGGCTTTTCTATGGAAGATCCTAATTAAGAGAACGGAGGCATACATCTCCTGGAAAAGTATCAAAAGTCACAGTTGAAAGTGAATTCAGCTATGCCTGGTTAGGAAACGAACATAGCCTTAGGCTACCCTCACAATATTGTGTTTTGTTCTTTATTAGAAGGCACTGGGGTTGTCTTATTAACATTTTAAATAATACACAAACACTTTCTGCTGTAAACTTCAGTTTTACGTTTCTAATGCTATCTAATCACTTCACTGTTTCCAAGTGCCTCTGAACGTGCAGCCTTATAAACAGCCATTCAGTCTCCTCCCTCTAGAAAGACAGCTCATGTACCACTCTGAAGGAACAGCTCAGAGCTGGATGGTGAACACCTATAACCCCAGCACTCGGGAAGTGGAGAACACAAGTTCAAGGCCAGTTCCAACTGCAGTGTGCTCAAGGCCAGCCTGGTCTATAAGAAACCCTGCAAACATTAAAAAAGAAATTAAATAAATAACAGCTCACTGTAGCTGGGATTATCACGTGGGTCAGAAGAAAGAGAGCTGGAGCTCAGGGTTTGTTTATTGAACAATACTCTAGGTATGGCTGATTTACTTCCTCTACACACACACACACACACACACACACACACACACACACCAAAACAGGAACTATTCATCCTAGGAATAATTTTCCAAGGTAAATCTATTTAATATGCACCACATGCAAGTCTGTGTTCTCATCTTTGATAATCATTGATGCAGAAGGAATACCTGGAAACACAAGCATCCTATGCACGATTAATTTTGGGACAAACTTTCCCCAACCTAGAGCAAAGAGTAGTAGATGAATCAGTGGCCAGTAATCAGTACACCCGGATTCCAAATCTCCCATTAGGAATGTGTTAGTCATGATTTGATTTTTTTTCCTATGATCTCTTTATGCTTTCTGGGAAGTGTGCCTACTCTGAAGACATTGTAGAATTCATTTGATTAATAGGATACGAGTGCTCTGGAAACTGGAGTGCGCTTTCCAGATAACAGGAAGTACCGTAGCCCTACACACACCTGCCTAATCACATGGTTGCAGCGGCTATCACAGAGGTTTAAGGAGTGGCAGAAAGAATGCTCAGTAGGTCAAGATGCTTGCACCAAGTCTGAAGACCTGCGTTCAATCCCTAAAACCCACAAAACCCACACAGCAGAACTCACTCCCTCAAGCTCACACACATGCAGAGAGGGAGGAGGGAGGGAGGGAGAAGGAAGAGGAAGGGAAGGAGAGATAGAAACAAAATAAATGTAAAAGTATCTTAAAAGACATAGTGGCTATATTTCACAGCAAATCTTGAGTAAAAAAAAAAGTTTAAACAGAACAATGCAATGTGATATAGTGAAAAGACACATCACTAGGATTTGGAATTAGCCTGATATATTGGCCACGATCCTTTAGAAGCTGGGGATTTTATGACTTTACTGTTCTTTATCTGAGTGCTAAAGTTCTTTTCTCCATCTAACGTGACAGAATCCTGGATGAGGCTAAGAACATCTCTTTCAATGCCACTACAGCATTCAGAGCTTACAGTAACATTAAGGACAATATTGATGAAGCTGAGAGAGTTGCCAGAGAAGCCAAAGATCTTGCCCAAGAAGCTACACAACTGGTAAGAAAAAAGAGCATCACATCCTAAGCATGGAAGTTGAGTTCTCTTCATTGTACACTGAGCATGCCTCTCACTCTCATCCCCTCCTATCCTCACCCCTCGCCTGTCCCATTTGTCTGCTTTGTTTCCCTGGACAATTTCAGCTCAACTCTCACTTTATATGTATGTGTATACATAATTGATAACACTATATAAAATCTAGATGCTGCGAACCAGGAAATACATACAATATTTGCTTTAGTGAGACTGACTTATTTCACTTAATGTTATTATCTCCAGTTGTAGCCATTGTTCCCTAAATAACTTAATTTTATTTTTCTTTGTGGATGAAAAAAATCCTATTGTGTACACGCACCGCATTTTCTTTTCCAATTCTTCTATTGATTTCTCAGGTTGTGTCTATAGCTACTGAAGGCATAAGTCACAAAACAATCCCACATCAGTTTGGAATTATGATTAATAAAAGGGTTATTTATTTAAAGGAAAAACTTACAGATCACTGTCCTAGACAACAGCCCTCTGCATGACCAGGAAAAGGAGTCTAGTAGCTGGAAGCAGAGTCCGAAGAAGAAAGAGAGAGGGAGAAAGAGCTCACGGCTACCACTGCTTTAAAAAGCAACAGAGACCACGCCCAAGTGGGCAGGTATCTTAAATGCTATTGGCTGAAGGAGCGGAAGGAGTTCCCACAGCAAGCTATAATAGTCAAATCCTTTTAAAATTAGTTTTCAAACTTAAATGAGACATTATAAACCTAGTAAATTGGAGTAGTTGCCGAGTCCTTACTGAAAATCTCATAAAAAATCCAACTCAAGTATTTTCTCACTATCTATAACCTCAGTACTCACCCACTACTTACTACTGTCAGTTCAGAGTTCAGAGGTCACTGCCCAATGCCAATCAGATTTGTGATGCAGTTCACAAAATTAAAAATAAGCAAACATAATACTCGAAATGGAGAACTTTAATCACCATTAGTTCAAACAACATTGATTTTGAAAAGTATCCTGCACAGAGTACTTCTCTTTTCAATCGCCATTGAGTTGAGTTTAGCTGTCAAGTGCACTTTTAAAAACTATATCTGATCATATGTTTCTAAAGTATACAGACTAATTTTATGAGCTGAATATCCTCTATCTTTTAGTCATTGTTCAAAGTGTGTTAAAAGTATGCAGCTAGTATTTTAGAGCTTTGGGATTCTAAGTTGAACAACCTACCTTCAGGATCTTTATCTTCAGTCATGGAAAACTTCGTTCACTGTATGTAGAGCAGCATTGTGCAAGCAATTTCTCCAGTAAGTGTCCCTCAGACTGCTTTAGGTGAAGAAATGCCTCATGGGAATTCCTGGTGAAGTACAAGGCCCAGAACAGTGGCTAAAATCATTTTTGCTTTACAGAGATTCTACAAGTACATCAATAATTTGGAGGGAAAACACCTACTGGAAATTTGTGAAATAAATGTGCATAAACTAGGACTTGCAAGAGACAGATTGACATTCCCCTGGCTTTGATACTAAGCAAAAACATTTTCTTGATTATGTGGGACATCTGTTGTCTGAGGTTTCTGTCCTGCCTGGTTCCCGCAGCAGTCGTTAAGTCCCAAAGAAATTACACAGAGGTCTAAATTAGTTATAAACTGATTGGCCTCATAGATAAGACTTCTTATTAACTCTTAAACTTATATTAGCCCATTATTCTTGCTTTTTAGCCACGTGTCTCGGTACCTTATTTGGCAAGGCAGTCACATCTTGCTTCTTCTATGGCTGGGTCATGACTGCAGACTGCTCTTCCCCCTTTCAGTATTCTTGTTGCCCTGCCTCTACTTCCTGCCTGTTCACCCCACCTATACTTCCTGCCTGGCTACTGGCCAATCAGCATTTTATTAAAAATGATACAAGAGACAGGATAAAAGACCATTGTCCCACAGCACTTTCAGATTGACAATCCCCTGGCTTTGATAGTGAGCAAAACCATTTTCTTGACTATGTGGGATAACAGAAATAATTATCACATTCTGTAGGAAAATTATGGTCATAATGAAAACATCATTATGCTTCCCACAATTGCTACCATTAGTGTTTTCTCTGGCATGGGCTAAACTAATGCCATATACTATATTTCTCTCTTTCCAGATTTAATATGCTGTCCTTATTCTTAAGAGTTTCCTGCATGTATACAATGAAATGTGATATTATCCACCTCTCATTTCTTCCTCTAATCCCTTATATTCTACCATCAAGTATCATTCTCTCTTTACCTTTCCTCCTCATTTCTTTATAACCTAGTCCATCAAATTAGTGGTATGAAACCATCCAATAAAGTATGGGGAAATTATCAGTTTCTTATTCAAAATACTGATATTATCAATGAAGAAATTATCCTTACAAAATGCTAATTTTAAATCTAACTTAAATTTAATTATTTAAATAGATACGTTATAATTTTAAGAACCTAATTTACCACTATTAATGATATTGTTTTGTTTAATAACTATTTTTAGCCTCTAACATATTGTTTAGCAAGTAGTGGCATGTTTTTCATGATACATTAGTATATATATACATATTCATAATTCCTATATTGTTTAAATTTTTACTATTGTAATCATTTCATCTTGTCTAATGTTTTGTGCTAAAGCACTATTTAATACTATTAATTTACATATAGGAAACCCTCATGGTTATGCTGACATAAAATTTTTCACTTCTTATATATATAGACTAACAACCCCCAATAAAGGTCATTTTCCTTTATTTTTATTTTTTCTCTTTCTAAAGACTACAAAAGTAATGAAACTTTTGAAAACTGTGTGTCAAAGAGAATCAATTGTTGATCTTATAGCTATCAGGAAATTACTGTCCTGGGTAATTTGTTGGGGCAGGTTCCATGAACAGAAAATGTAGGGCTTTAATCTTAAGAGATCATTATAATATAGTTTATCTCTTTTGGAAAATTAACATATTTGTGAAACATTCAATTGAGCAGTTACCTAACAGCTCATAAACCTAAAATTAATATTATTTAATTTTATTAATTTATTATATACTTAATATAAATAAATATATATTTAATTAATATAATTTATTATATAATCTGAAAGGAGATGAGGAAAAGCAGTATGGGAGAGCCCACTACTCATGTGAAATATATTTAGCAAAAAATGGAATGTTTATAATAAATTATAAAGAATAATCAAAGAAACAGAGTAGATACTTGCGCTAGAGAAAGATCTATTAAAGAAGTAGTAGAAGAATTCATTGAGATGCTGAAGAAGATGGTGGTGAATTGAGAAAGAAGAACACATTGAAAATACCATTGGAAAAAACTAAGTGAATGGTTGATGTAAGCTCTAGGCATAATGGAGGTGACATTTTATTTTATTTTGTATTGATTTTATTGAGCTATATATTTTCTCTGCTCTCCTCCCTTCTTCCTCTTTCCTCCCCTTCAACCCTCTCCCATGCGCCACATTTGCCCATGAGATCTTGTCCTTTTCTACTTCTCATGTAGGTTAGATCCCTGTATGTCACTTTTAGGGATCTCACTGTTGTCTAGGTTCTCTGGGATTGTGATTTTTAGGCTGGTTTTTTTCGCTTTATGTTTTAAAACCACTATGAGTGATTACATATGATAATTGTCTTTCTGAGTCTGGGTTAGGAGATGGCATTTTAAAATCAACTTCGTTCCTTTAGAATAAATCTATATATCAACATAGATAATTAAGACTGAAACTGAAATGAAAATATAAGAAGTTGATTTTTTTTTCTGGTTTTTCGAGACAGAGTTTCTCTGTAGCTTTGGAGCCAAGAAGTTGATTTTTATAAGCAGGCAGATGCCATATTCAAGTTGACAATATGCTATTATTATATAAGAAAAACAGCCATTTGTATCAGAACATAAGTTCTTTAAATGTCAAGATGAAATATCACTAAGAACTGAGGCATTATGTGGAAAAATAATATTATATTTATATTGGTATAGAGTGGAAAATAAATTATATATTATAAAATATTCATTTCTCTCAGTCCAGTCTTTCGGAGCTTAGTACTCCTCTTTAATATATACAACTAAAAAGAGAAAGGAACTGTGGTACTTTTTTGATAAAGGAATATAGAAATCTAGTAATTACTTTTCTAAAATTAATTGCTTGGCTTTGAATCCTATAGAATCATCCTACCAGGTGCTAAAGAGATGGCTCAACATCTGGGTCTTCCAGAGGACCCAGGTTCAGTTCCCGTTACCCACATTGGCTCATAAGTCTAACTCTAGGGCAACTAATGTCTTCCTCTGGCTTCCACGAGCACTGCATTCAAGATGCACACACATACACATAACCAAAAATACTAACAATAGCTGTGTTGTCAAAGAACCTACCATAATCAAGAATTGATATCTTAAATTTCCATACTATACTGACACTTAAAACATGCACCATCATGAGAAAGATAAGATTCTTGAAAGTGTGTGAATAGATTTCACATGTTGTTGGGCATCTTAAGTGATCACACAAAAATGTTCAAGTTCATTGACACTAAGGATGAACCCTTCCTTGTCCTCTACTACAGTTGAGGTCTCACGTACTGTGTGTACTTAACTAGAGAACACAAAGCGTAATGTATATGAACCCCATAGCCATGGTCTTATATATAATAGAGTCACCATACTGCCTATACATCCTCCATCCTTCCGCTAAGGCAATGGAATGTGCTGCCTTAGTCTCTATTATCTGGAAGTCCTAGTCTTCTCTAGGAGCTTGCCTTTGTAAAGATTACTTTTACTATCCATGGAAACCGAACTGGAGTCTCCCCCCACCTTCTCTTTCTCTGTCTCTGTCTCTGTCTCTGTCTCTCTCTGTCTCTCTGTCTCTCTCTCTTTCTCTCTCAAGTTCCTTCCTCTTTCTGTTGTATTCTTTTTCCTCTTCCTCCTCCTCATCTTCTTCTTCCTCCTCTATATCCACTTCATATTGGGAGCATGGAGAACTTGGGAGAGGGTTGAAAGGGAGGG